GTAAACTATCTCAGGTGCTGTTCATGGTAACCGCGACGTTGACCTTTCATTCATAGCTTCTTAGACTCTTCTGGGTCACCGGGGTGTGAGTCTTTTCCGTCCGGAACATCTCACGGAACGGCTCAATGAACATCGACACGTCGCAACATTGCATATCGTCATTGTCCCCGAAATAATCTAGAATTAGATCACACCCATTCGGCCCCGAGCAGTCCAAGGTTTATGAATGGAGAAAAAAAACGCGCAGTGCGTAACCTAATTTAAACGTCACGGTTATCGTTAAAAGCACCCTATCTCAAATTGCTGCTATTCAAAATATACATGCTGTCCTCCCCTTGTGTCGATGTCTACGTCTTTCTTTCTTGCCTTCGATCTTTCCCTCTAGTCTAGGTTTTTAACAGAGTTTTAACACATAAACAATTGTTTTCAGTTACTGGGCTTTCAACGGAGATCTCCATTTTGGCAATGGGAGCTGTGTGCACTTTCTATACTTCCATTGTAAGTATTCATTTGTTGCAGAGTTTGCCACAGGTAGTAGGTTAGACAATTAAGTGTTATGTAAACAAAAAGATCGTGTGTTGAATCTAAGACTTTGTAGTGCTTGAAGCAATATACCAAATGATTTGTGTAATTAAGTTGAAGGTATTCATTTAGTGCTTGTGATTGACTTACTGATTTTCAAAGCCAACAAGACTGCACAACGAACGACGAACACGGGTGACACAAAGTGCCAACATTCAGATGATAATTGACCAGGTGCAAATCCCTTAACCCCCGTTCAACCTGTAGGTTGTATTTATAGCCCCTGACCACAGTTGGGGTGGGCTTTAAAATTCAAATTTTAAAAATTGAGGCTTATTTTAAGGCGGATAATGTGCAAAGTGCTTGTAGATGTAAACTGTGTATTTTGCAGCGACATATAAAGGTTAGTTGCGTATCCTTTACAGGACGTTGCAGAACCAATCACAGCAGCCCTTGGCTGTTTGATGATTTTTCTAGGCAAATTTACGTTCAGTAGTTTGCATTTGCCCTGAACTGTCGGCTTTCTTGATACCACTGTCGAAACCAAAGCAAGGCGCATGGCCCGCAGCCGGGATCAAACCCGGCATCCCGGCATTACGAAGCGTTCGCAGAAACTTAGCCACAGAGCCGACCAGCGACATATAACACACGATAAATTGGGCAGCGAATTGTTTGTGTGCTTGTGATTAAGTATTGTCTCATTAAAACTTTAGATTCCCATTTAGGAAAACCCTGTTTTGAATCCTCGGTAAGGTGATGATATTTCTATGTCAGGGGAACTTCCGCATTTTCTTCTTCTTACTGGTCAGACATCAGATACTAAGCTAGGTGATTTTGTGTATGTGTATAGCAGTGTTTAATTTTTGTATGTGCTGATGAAGGCTCCATTGCCGCAACGTTCACATTTTGTTTGTGTTTGTTATATTGTGAAGCTTGCTGGTATACTTTTCGTTAGGTTTTATATCGTTTCTTCTTTTTAGCCTTCACCGACTGAAAACTCCAGCGGAAAGTTCTGGTTGTTCGTCCACTTATGGTCCACAGTCTTGTTCTAGAACTGGAATTAATGTTCTGTGCACATCCGTACTAAAAATGTGGCTTGTTTATATACAGACTTGTTGGTTCCTCGCCTCTTAGATCGATGCCCTCCGACTTCAGAGGAAACAAATTGTAATTAGTCGTCTTGTACGACATGCTTGTTAAGGGGGCAATGTGACTAATCTTTTTTTTCCTCGCAATGGCGTCCCGGAGTTCACACGGGTAGAAGTCGGTTTAGCGGGAAATTGTTAACATCAAAATACTCCTGGTTTGTTCTTGACAGGGCGGTATCTGAGTCTGTTCAGCATGAACATTTTTATTATCATCTAGTTGCTCCTGGTTTGTTCTTGACAGGGCGGTATCCGAGTCTGTTCAGTATGAACATATTAGCATCTAGTTGCTCCTGGTTTGTTCTTGACAGGGCGGTATCCGAGTCTGTTCAGCATGAACATATATATTATCATCTAGTTGCTCCTGGTTTGTTCTTGACAGGGCGGTATCCGAGTCTGTTCAGTATGAACATATTAGCATCTAGTTGCTCCTGGTTTGTTCTTGACAGGGCGGCATCCGAGTCTGTTCAGCATGAACATATATATTATCATCTAGTTGCTCCTGGTTTGTTCTTGACAGGGCGGTATCCGAATCTGTTCAGTATGAACATATTATCATCTAATTGCTCCTGGTTTGTTCTTGACAGGGCGGTATCCGAGTCTGTTCAGTATGAACATATTAGCATCTAGTTGCTCCTGGTTTGTTCTTGACAGGGCGGCATCCGAGTCTGTTCAGCATGAACATATATATTATCATCTAGTTGCTCCTGGTTTGTTCTTGACAGGGCGGTATCCGAATCTGTTCAGTATGAACATATTATCATCTAATTGCTCCTGGTTTGTTCTTGACAGGGCGGTATCCGAGTCTGTTCAGTATGAACATATTATCGTCTAGTTGCTCCTGGTTTGTTCTTGACAGGGCGGTATCCGAGTCTGTTCAGTATGAACATATTATCGTCTAGTTGCTTCTGTTTTGTTCTTGACAGGGCGGTATCCGAGCAGTTGTGTGGACCGATGCCTTTCAGCTGATAGTTGTGTGGGCGGGCCTCCTGGCCCTGTTAATAAAGGGAGCCGTTGATGCTGGAGGCTGGACCAATGTGTGGAAGGTATCCAAGAATGGGTCTAGACTACCCAAGTTCAAGTAAGTATTCTATTGTATCAAATAAGTTGTGTATTTATGAAGCAGGTCGGTCAGCGACGCCACATCTCCGTTGACAACAACTGTTGAGGTGATACAACCCTTTTAAAAATCCATACTAGAGGCAATGGCCAACGGCAAGTGAGAAAAATATGTAGATAACGATGCGAGTGGAGGATAACCTTATTATTTTTTTCCCTACCCCTAGAATATTTGCAAGATGACTACTTTGCTACTCCCCTTTTCCCAGCAACGTATAGGCCTTCTCTTTTTAAATATGTGTGTATAATTTCATATTATGTCAAGTATATTATTATATTAAAATGCTATTAAGAACACAATTATTATATTATTATTGCGCTCTTAAAATGTTATCGTATCAAGTAAATTGTGTTCTGTATCAAGTAATTTTTGTTTCGTATCATGAAAGTTTTTTTGTTTTTTTAATCAAGTACAATTTTTATTGTATTAAGTGGGTTTTGTATCCTATGAAGTAAATTGTGCAATAAATCAAGTAAGTTTTGTATCATATAAAGTCAGTTTTCTATGTATAAAGTAAGTTGTGTATTGTATCAATTAAGTTTTACATCGTATCAATATAAGTTTTGTTTGATATAAAGTTATTTTTGCATCGTATCGAGTCCGTTTTTAATCCTCACAAGTAAGTTTTGATCGTATCAAATAAGTTGTGTATCGTATCAAGTATGTTTCACGTACGTTTTGTATGGTATCAAATAAGTTTTCAATTGATGTAAGGTAGGCTGTATATTGTAACAAATAACTTTTTGTATCGTGTGTAGTAAGTTTTGCATCGTATCAAGTAAGCTTTGTTATCGTATCAAGTAAGCTTTGTTATCGTATGAAGTAAGTTCTGAATCGTGTCAAGTAAGTTTTGTATATTATCAGATAGGTTTTGTATCCTATCAAGTAAGTTCTGAATCGTGTCAAGTAAGTTTTGTATATTATCAGATAGGTTTTGTATCCTATCAAGTAAGTTCTGAATCGTGTCAAGTAAGTTTTGTATATTATCAGATAGGTTTTGTATCCTATCAAGTAAGTTCTGAATCGTGTCAAGTAAGTTTTGTATATTATCAGATAGGTTTTGTATCCTATCAAGTAAGTTCTGACGAAGTTAATTTTTTTTTTTTTTTATATACTTTATATGGTTTTCTTTAATTTTACAGATGATACACACTGAATACATCCAGGTCGACCCAGTCTTAAATGGGTACTAGTTAAATTCTTGGGAAGTAAAGGCTGTCTACGTGACATTATCCACCAAGTGTCTATTAGTCTATAAAATATACGGCTAGCCCTATATGCCCAATATGCCCGAAGGCGCAGGATTAGGTTCTTTAACATTGAATGCACTTATCCATTGAAATTAACCTCAATTGTGAAGATACAATAATAATAACAAAAATTGCTATATGCTGTCACGGGTTCCTCCCATTTGTAGTGCCGTCAACCTATTGCTTGCTTGCCTCTAAGTTTCCCATCCCATCAAGTGTGGTTTTTATGTTGTGAGCAAAATATATTACTTGTATTACTTGCCTTCTTTTTTTTTTTTTTTTAATGTCTTTCGGCCAGTCTCTTTTCATTTCTCATCTGTATGCAACTACTGTGTTTGATTATTTGTTACGATGAAATACTATCTATTTTTTTTTATATCCCCCCATCTCCAGATACCAATTTCAATTTTCTAACTGCTTCTTTATTTACAGATTTCTGCACCATCTTGCAGGATTTAGTCAACATAACATACAATCTTCGTCATTGTCCAGATTTCTGCACAATGTTGCAGGATTTAGACAACATAACATACAATCATCTTCATTCTCCAGATTTTTGCACCATGTTGCAGGATTAGTCAACATAACATACAATCTTCTTAATTGTCCAGATTTCTGCACCATCTTGAAGGATTTAGTCAATATAACATACAGTCTTCTTCATTGTCCAGATTTCTGCACCATGTTGCAGACTGTAGTCAACATAACATACAAACTTCTTAATTGCCCAGATTTCTGCACCATCTTTAAGGATTTAGTCAACATAACATAGTCTTCTTCATTGTCCAGATTTCTGCACCATCTTGAAGGATTTAGTCAACATAACATACAGTCTTCTTAATTGTCCAGATTTTTGCACCAAATTGCAGGATTTAGTCAACATAATATACAGTCTTCTTCATTGTCCAGATTTATGCACCATTTCGAAGGATTTAGTCAACATACAATCTTCTTCTTCTGCCTACTCTTCACTTCCTCATTTACCGCTTCGGGCACTGAGGGAGGTTCTAAGTTTCTGCTTCTTTTTCTTTTGGCCGCTTTTACATACACATTGTGTTGTTTTAAAGTTTCTTTGGTTTTATTTTTCCATCTTAGTCTAAATTGTGCTCTACGTCATTCTCATATTTAGGTGTATGCATTGTACAGTACAGTGTTACGTGACGTTCTCGCTAAGTGGGCACACTATTGTATAAAAATTAGAATTGTTTTAGTTGCGACTTTTTTTTTTTTTTTTCTTATGATCTCATTCTTGATTTTTTATTTTCTGGCCACTCCTGCAGCCCTTCTCATATACTTCAGATTCGATTTGCACCTTTTCGTCTTTCCAGACGATAGTGTTATATTGAAGAGGCATGGGACTCTTGTCAAGAAGTGTTTTCCACAGTGATAGCATGGGATTTCAGGACCATTGTTAACAACATTTGTGTTTAATCGGTTTCTTCTGAGACGCTCAGCTTTCATCTTTTCTGCAATCATTTCTTCCTTCACTCCCATTTCCTTTCTGATTTGCCCTCTCCACATAAAACGGTCCAAGCCATTTTGTTCCCATGAGTCCACCTCAATACCTGTATCATTCATGTCCTGCTTGTTTCTCAGACACTACATGTCCACGGTATACCACACAATAAATGTTGCTAACTTTGTTGTTACTAAGATAACCATAGTAGCATTTCGTATTTACATTATTTGCAGTATGGATCCGAATCCCTTTATCCGCCACACGTTTTGGACTTTGTTGATTGGTGGATGCACTAACATGATGACAGTCTATGGAGCCAATCAGACCAATCTTCAGAGATATGCCAGTGTGCGCACTCTGGCAGGCGCTCGTTTGTAAGTGCTTTTATTACTTCTGGTTTTATTCTACTTTCTCATCTTCATTCTCTTCTTCTGCTTCTTCTTCTTCGGCTTCCTCTTTTTCTTCTTCTTACCACCTATGCTGTGTGGTATCGCCGATCACATCTTCCACAGTCTGCAACCACTATTTATATAGTTTGACGTGTCCTCCACCTCATGATTCCTGTCTGTTTGTTATCTTCTTTATGTATTTCCTTCTGCCTTCTTTCACTTCTAAATGTCCTGGTCTTAGGCAATGCTGCAAGTTCAACCTCAAAAGAATATTAATTCCATGTTTTATTCTAGTACTGAAATACATATGGCGTTAACTGGGAAAGAGTGCGAGGGAGAGGAGGGACCTTGAGTCTGAGGATTTGGGACCACATAGAAAGTGCAGGTGCCACAAGCTGTACAGGTTAGGATGTTTATTGTTGCCCCTGATAGAAAAAAAAAAGAAAAAAAAAAGACCTCCTTCATCTTCTTAAGGATTCAAACCTGGATATTCCATGTGGGAGCCGTGCGTTCTTACTTCCCCGCTAGTCACTCCTCCTCATTCTGGTATTGCGCATGTGTAACTTTGGTATGGAACCCATAAGATCTAGTAGTTAGTGTGAGGACAGACAAGGTTACGAGATTGTGTCTGTTCTTATTTGTAAATGTAACACTGCATTGTAATCTTAGATTTAGCTTCATAGCAAACGGGTCACCCCATTGTTGTTCTGTTCCTGTGCCGACTTCAAACACACAGAATGTCCATCACTGTCCCTTGTGGAAAAATAGATACAGACTGTCGTCTCAGCATGTTCACCAGCATACACACACATTAAAAGCATAAGGCAGCCATCAGAACTGCCAACACTAACAGTCCAAGATTAGAAATGCAGTTCATCATCAACAGAAGTAGCAGTTACAAACAGATCAGCAGTTACACAGGCGATCAAGTTTAATCACACAAGGCATCACCAATTCTGTGGCAACAAGCCACGTGTCATTTTCAGAATCTACAGTTTACAAACACCACGTTGGTCACAGTCGAAATTAAATCCGCAGCTCACAGTGTCCCGCCATGCACTTAACTTAGTATTAGGGCAACAAAACTATATCCTTCCAGTCTACAAATAGAGGAAAATGCAACAGCCACCGTCTGTCAGAGGCTTAAAATTTGCCGCGACTAAGAACAGTGAGTGTGCTTAGCATTCATTTTGACCGGGTATTCACTTGGAGTATGGCGAAAGAAGAGAAAATTTAGAGGTGAAAGAGGCAGGAGGAGATAAAAGTAGAAGATAATAAACAACCGGCGGACACAGTGAGGTTAGGACACATTAAACTATATAAATATTTGGTAACATACTTGACAGCAGACTGTGGGAAGCTAGACTGCGAAGCCACACAGCAAGGTCTGTAAGAAGATCGTTTATTCATGCTGTGAGCCGATGAAGGCTTTCTAGCCGCAACGTTCACTTGTCATTTGCGTCTGTGATAATGTGAAGGTGAATAGTTATATTTTTTGATCTGATATCTTTTCACGAAAAGAATTCTTAAAATCTGTATAAATCATATCCTGATATATAAAAGTGAATCATGGACAGTAGGTAGATTAGTGCAAAATTATTGAGCAGCTTCGAAG